GGATTTCAGTTTCTTCAGTTGTACGGAAGGCCCAACAGCGCCTCTACTACCTGAGGAGACTGCGGAGCGCACACATTCCCAGATCTCTGATGTTGAACTTCTACAACTGTGCCATCAGCAGCGTTCTGACGTATGGATTTCTAGTGTGGTTCCCCAGCTGCACCAAGGCCGATCAGCAAGCACTCCAGCGGGTGGTGAAAGAAGCTGGCAGAATTATTGGAACAAGTCTGCCAGAGATCAGTAATATCTTCCCCACTCGCTGTCTGAGGAGGGTGCACAGTATCCTGCGGGACCAACATCACCCTGCGCGCCACCTTTTCCATCTGCTGCCCTCAGGGAGAAGGTACAGGTCTATACAGGTGTTACACCCCGGCCTAGGCAACCGGGGTGCAACGCAGGAAATAAATAAGTCATGCAAAAACAAAACACTGACACACCGAAACGTAACATTTCCCCCTACCCAAAAATCAAACATGTAACCCCAAGTGAAAAGTTTGATTCAGACAAACGAAGGCTGAAACGAAGGCAGACGAAGCTGATGGAGGCTGGAGCGGTCCCACGGACCCTCCCCCCAGCGAAGGCGGATGAAGGCAGACGAAGCTGATGGAGGCTGGAGCGGTCCCACGGACCCTCCAGCGACGACAAAGGCTGGGGCGGTCCCACGGACCCTCCCCCCAGCGAAGGCGGATGAAGGCAGACGAAGCTGATGGAGGCTGGAGCGGTCCCACGGACCCTCCAGCAGACGACGAAGGCTGGTGCGGTCCCCCGGACCCTCCAGCAGAGGCGGATGAAGGCTGGAGCGGTCCCTCGGACGCTCCAGCGAAGGCGGATGAGCAGCTCACCAGCTGCACACACGGACACGCAGCCCACCAGCTGCACACACGGACACGCAGCCCACCAGCTGCACACACGGACACGCAGCCCACCAGCTGCACACACGGACACGCAGCCCACCAGCTGCAGAAGGCTGGAGCGGTCCCTCGGATCCTCCAGCGAAGGCGGATGAAGGCTGGAGCGGTCCCTCGGATCCTCCAGCGAAGACAGACGGAGGCTGAAGCGGTCCTCGGACCCTCCAGCGAAGACAGAAGGCCGAAGCTGTCCCTCCTTCGGACCCTCCAGCGATCCCGGACGAGCCCCCATATGTTACACCCCGGCCTAGGCAACCGGGGTGCAACGCAGGAAATAAATAAGTCATGCAAAAACAAAACACTGACACACCGAAACGTAACAACAGGCCAGAACATCCAGACTGGCCAACAGCCTGTATCCACAGGCTGTGAGGCTCCTGAACTCTCTGCCCCCCTCTCACGGACAATAACCATATCCAACTTCTTAATAGCAATGAACTGGTCTGCATTGGTGCATCATATCTTTATTCTAATAATAATAATAATAATACATTTTATTTATAGGCGCCTTTCAGACGCTCAAGGTCACCTTACAAAAACACGTGAGCAATAGCAGCAAAAAATATATTAAACATGGTAAAATCTAATTTAGTCAGTCATTCAGTCATAAAAGTATAAAAGCAAATATAAAAACTGAGCAAGGTAAAAATGGACTAAGACAGATCAGCTGTATGCAATGCTGAATAGATGAGTTTTGAGACATGATTTAAAAGTGGTGAGAGCGTTTGGCTCATTAGTGACAGGCTCTGAGTCCAATGGTAGTCAGGCGAGCAGGTGGAACAGACAGAAGGGAAGAAGAGCGGAGTGTACGATGGAGTGAGTACGTATGAAGATCAGATAAATATGGAGGAGCGAGGTTATGAAGCGCTTTGAAAGTGAGAAGAAGGATCTTGAAATTGACATGGTGGTGAACTGGAAGCCAATGGAGCTGTTTAAGAACAGCTGTTATATGTTCAGTGGATCTAATTCTGGAAATAATACGAGCAGCTGTATTTTGAACTAACTGCAATTTATGGAGAGATTTATGAGGTAGACCACAAAGAAAGGGATTCACAGTAAGCTAAACGAGATGTGACAAGAGCATCGACAAGTATGGCGGTACTGTTTGAAGTGAGTGAAGGACGAAGGCGGTTAATATTACAGAGATGAAAATATAATTTATATGTGCTGCGAAGGACAGAGCGCTGTCGATGATGACACCAAGACTCTTAACCTGAGGGGAGGGTGTGACAACAGTCATCGATGGATAATGAAAGACTGGTTGGGACTTTGGTCAGTTTTGATTTGGTGCCTATTAAAATGAATTCTGTTTTATTAAATTTAAGAAAGTTGTGAGTAAACCAGACCTTGATTTCACTTAAACAGTCAGAAATGGATGTGGGTGGGAGAGTAGCTGTGGGTTTGGAGCTGGGTGTCATCTGCGCAGCAGTGAAACTGGAAGTTAGGCTTCCTGATAATATTACCTAGGGGTAGGAGATAGATGATAAAAAGTAAAGGACCCAGGACAGAGCCTTGGGGTACATCAGAATTAACTGGAGTAGATACTGATCTGTGAGAGAGTAATTGAACAAACTGTGAGCAGCCAGAGTAAACCAGGCGAGTGCTGTACCACTGATGCCAATAGATGCTAATCTGTGAAGAAGGATGTGGTGGGAGATTGTGGCAAAAGCTGCTGTAAGCTCAAGAAGAATGAGGATGGAGATGAGTCCAGAGTCAGCTGCAAGCAGAAGATCATTGGTGATTTTTACTAGACATGTTTCTGTACTGTGACATGAACGGAAGCCGGACTGAAACTGTTCGTACAGGTTATTTCCAGTGAGATGACGATGAACCTGTGCAGCCACTATCTTTTCCAGAACGTTGGCTAAGACAGGCAGATTTGAAATTGGCCTGAAATTATTTAGATTGGAGGGATCTGAACCATTCTTTTCAGTACTGGAGTTATTATTGCATAGAAGGTAATCTATATTCTGCTCTTGCTCTTGACGAAGGCGGTCGCACTTTTCTCCTCTCCTCCTCCTCTCCCTTAGCTTCCCTGCTTAGCCTCTTGTGTCCTTGTCTAGTCTCGTGTTTTTTGTATTACTTTCCCTGGAACACTCTCTCACAGTCTGTTCTCTAAAACCTAAAAGAGGAATAAAGGCCACCTGGGTTGGCAGGAAGACTGTTTACTTAGCCTGGCAGGGCGAAGGACACTGTCCCAGCTGAACTCTGGACACACACATACATATACACTGATATGCACACACTCATCTCCCTTCCCTTTCCAAACGCCTTCGACACTTATTCCCTCCCGATGCTGCACCCCCCCCGTTGCTTGTCATGTGTTTCTTTGGTGTATTAAGTGTTTTTTCATGTGCAGAGGTGTTTTTTTCTGTTCTCAAACTGATCTCCCTGTTGGAGCTCAGTCTGGGAGGAGTTATTTTCACTGATTTGAGTGACAACCAGCTGATACAGGACATGAGAAAAACAGATGGTGTAATGTTTCACAGGCTGAATCACTAAAAGAACACGGGTCCAAATGTAAACCTCCTTTTTAGAAATTCAGATACGGGGTATTTATTATTAATGACCTTAAAATGGGTTTCTTTAACTTTTGGAGGAACAGGCTACTTAACAAATTCAGAAAACACCTTTTCCACTAGTGACTGATCCCCGTGAAAGGCCTGCACACGTCTACCCGAGTCAAACTCATGGAAAAGAATCAATTTGAAGTTCACTCTAATAAACTTATTGTACTATCATTTAAATTAAAGTTTCCAATTTTGAAGCTTGGCAGCGCTGGTTTGATGTTAGAATGTAACAATGTGTTGCATAATAGCTGAGCTAATGGGATAGCATGACAAACCTTTCTGGTATCTTTTAGTGGGCAGTCTAAATTGTGTCTCTTCAGAAAAGATACATAATCCAGTAAAGCACCATTAGAGTCTAACAAGTCAGTTACAAACAAGATGCCGCTCTCAAACCAGTTTCTGGTAAATAATGGCTTTCTAGCGGTTATCAGTCTATTGTTCCAAAGTGTCCACATGTGAGACGAGGAGAAGGAGAGGACCTGTTTGAGAAAACTAGATAGTTTAACCGGAATTTTACTGAAAGTCGAGGAAGAGGAGGAGATCACTGGCATGTAGACCCCTCTGAGTGATCACTTCCTCCTGCAGATGCCTCGACCCCGCAGTGACCCCTGACCTCTAGCGTACCTGCAGTGTGGCGGTGCTCTGCAGCTCCCGGCCTGCAAACAGCACCTTGAGGCGCTCCGGCCGCACCCCCTGCTGACTCCCCACCACCTCCTTCAGCTGAGCCACGCTCGCCTCCTCCTGCAACTCCACCGGGACGCCAGGGCCCAGGTTAAAGCGCACAAACACTGAGGACAGACACACACACACACACACACTTCAGCTTCACGTAGGTTATTTGCCACGTGTTCTTTTGAAAGTAAAATGACGTCACTGCGTGTAGCACCTGAACTCTAATCAGAGTGGGCTGTGTCCCAATTCAGGGTCTGCACGCTTGAGGCACGCGCACTACGCGCACTACGTACGGTGCGTACTATAAGTACGAGAAGTGCGGAAGTGAGAGGCTTGTGAAATGGGACGGGACGGTCTAACCTGCGTCGCGCTGTTCAGGTTGCCTAGCAACCATGATACTAACCACGAGAAACGTTACATACAGCTTTGTTTGAAATTAATGAAGGAGAAAAAATGTTTTGTTGGTCATTCATTTTTGTCATGACATCACTTTGATTAGTTGAGTATCTGAGGCTGAGACCACGGGACTGTAAATATATATGTGTGTGTGTGTGTGTGTGTGTGTGTGTGTATTATAGCAGTGAGCTTGAACTCTGGGTCAAAGATTCAAGTTGCAGTTATTTATATTTCTTATCACCTCAAATCTTCACTCAAAGACGAGTATCTGTGACAGTGTATATATAGATGTATTATATATAAGAGACAAATATTGTTCTTTTAATATGTTGACATTACTAAATTTGGCTCAATGCTTACATACATGTGTAAAAAGGAAAATGTACGAGCTGTGATAACTGTGTCTGATAGAATGAAGAGTAGACTGATATATTAAATATTCCTTTATTGGGTGAGAAAATCAGACCATGTCATAACTGCTGTAAGTCACACAGAATAGATATCAGAGCCTTAACCCATTTTTTAACTAATGCTGTGTTCTGGTAATTTGACAGCATACATGCCACTGCAAACAGTTGGTTGATATTATAAACATGTGACATGGTAATGATGCTATCAAAAAGTTTGTTCTGTTTGATCCTCCTAATGACTCGCTCCACATGTACCCTGAGTCTGGCTATGGCCTGCGTCTCCTTAACCTGGTATGCTGGCATCTGCTTCTGCTTAGATAGAAAAGGTGGGCAGTACACTTTGCATTTACAACAATCAGTGATTAGGAAGCCCTTATCTACCATCACTGCCATGTCTTCAGTCAACTTCTCAGCAATGCCTGATTGTTTGAATAGTTCCTTGTCACTAACCGAACCAGCATACAGATTAGAGATGAATGTCACTGGACCATGTGGAGCTATGCCAACCAGGGCTTTCATCATACAGTGGGATTTGTACGAAGAGTACATTTCACTTTGGAGAAGTGGTGAGGATGGTGTCTGACACCTCAGCTCTGTACAGTCAAGGATCATCTGGGTGTCTGAGAAATCTTTGAATTCCTCAGGGAGGTAAGCTTGCACTCCTTCACGTGTAAGCCAGATGCATTGAGACCCCAGTGCAGTGGCAAGAAAATTTGTCCATGTTGCAATAATGCGGCTCACTGTGGACTGGTGTATGTTAAAGCGGTGTGCCAGGTCCCTCTCCTTCAAACCAACTGACAGGAAAACCAGGAAAAGAAAAAACTCGTCAATTGGCTGTAGCAGCTGCCTCTGGAAGGTGAAAACAAAAGGGAAAATGTTACTCCTTAAGCTATGAACTAGTAAAATTATGCTTTTCTTGGCTAAATGTTTTGTAATGGTTATGCATACCGTACCATGGGGTAAACAATGAGGTGCTGTAGTGCACAGGTGTATGTATGTAAAGGATACTGAGTCTAGCATACATACACCTGTGTATGTATGCTACTGTACATAATGTAATGTTATTGTACATAAATACAATAACATTACACCTCTAGTTCTAACTACCAACAAACCCATAACCTACTGTTGATGTGCGTGCAGGTGTCAACACTTCTTCGTTCCGATTGGCAGCTGACTTGGCTCTTGAAACCCGGATCATTTTATAGATGCAAGGCTCAATCAAAACCCAGAATGCCATCAAATGATCATAGCTTGGAAATCTATTCACGAGAGAGCCATACATCGTGTCAATCATTAATTAACATTACACACTGACATAAAAATAATGTGAACTGTGACAAATATGCTAATGGCATTGCTGTATAAAATAGTCTGATTAAGAGTATTTGGTGTTGTATTTTACCTGTAGCATTAGGATATCGTTTAAATACTAAAGCATCTACATAAAACATACAATCAGCAGAGAAAAAGTAAATTTCTATTTTGTTTTCATTAAGACTGGAAAAACTTTCTAAATTTAACTGATGGTGACCTTGGTATATTTTAAACAGTTAGCTTGAATAGAACTTAGGTGTACCTGGTATAGAATCGGATGTCAGTGTCGGAGCCAGCAAAACGCTGTAACCCAAATTCTCGCTGGACACGTAACTCCTGTATTTCCTTCCTCAGAGTCTCCACGTCTTTGAACAGGTCTTCTGCAGCTGATGCAGATATGTCCAATGCAGACGGCTCGGGGACTGAGCAGTAGTCATGATCTCTTGTAAGACTTTGCTCTTCTTGATCGTCAGGAGGAACTAGTTCAGGGCGTCGCTCCGTTCTCTCCCAAACACTACGCCGCGGTGGTCCAAGTTTATAGCCATTCTACTCAAAAAGTGTTGGTACAGCACCTTTAATAAGCCGCCTTCGACCATCGAGGGTTGTTGGCTCTATGAGTTGATCACTGGCAAAGTGTCTGCAGCAGACCCTGGTGTGAGAGGTAATCGTGAAATGATCCCGGCGTATATTTACCAGCCATTGTCTTCTCAAGTCGGAATGGGTCGGAAAGGCATGAAAACTTAGTATGCCGTTAAATTTGGCTGAAGCTGAACAAAATGGGACACAGTAATGCTCGGAGTATTTCTTCTCCTGTTTTTGAAAATGTTCTGTTTTAAATACTTTCCTTTTTATACTCATTCTAAAGCGACATTAGCATAGCTACCGATAGATAAGCAAACGTACCGGAAACGCACAAGCGGTACTATTTGGAAACGGAAATACGTCACATGCCCTAGTGCAAGTAGTCTATTCAGGGTCTGCAGCCTTAAAGGCCGCATTTCAAGGCCGATTACGTCACGAAGGCTGTCCCAATTCAAAGGCTGCTCAAAATGCGGCCCTGAAATGCGTCCTTCATTTCCCTGAATTTTAAGGATGTGGCAGTGTAGACTTCGTGGCCCAACATATCCCAGAATGCATAGCGCAGCAGTGGGTGTGGATAAATTTGCAGAAAAAAACGGCGGATGAGGGGCGCCCGAAGAGTACACTTTAAGTACTGAATATTATGTCACTTATTTATGTGCAAATGTTTAATAACGAAGACCATTAAACATTCCTGTTGGCCACATGTCGGCAAAGTCATGTGACATTAGTGACGTTTGTACTAACTTGGTTTTAAAGTCTTTACTTTAAAATATACACCGTTCAATAGCTGAGCTTCATCTCACAGAGAATGATCAAAGCTCATGTAGAAACAAACAAATGAACAAACGATTTTCTCCTTCATTTCTGTCAAACAAAGCTATGACACGTTTCCAGCTGTTATTATCATGGTTGCTAGGCAACCTGGGCAGCGCAACGGAGGCTTTTTTTTTTTAACTTTATTGACAAACAACAGTATCAGCGCAACGGAGGCTAGACCGTCCCATTTCACAAGCCTCGCACTTCCGGCCTTAGCGGTCTTTGAGTACACGGCCCTTGAGGATCGTTGAGGCTGCGTACTTTAAGGCTGCAGACCCTGAATTGGGAGACAGCCACTGTGTGATATATGGGACCACGAAGCGTGCACCGGACCACGCTTGATATTTGGGGAAATCGACGGCGCATTTGAAGTACACTTCGAATTGGGACAGCCGTCGTCGCGTGGCGGTGACGTAATCGCCCTTAAAATGCGTATTTCAAGCGTGCAGACCCTGAATTGGGACACAGCCACCGATCCGCACACAGGACAGCCCACACAGAACCCTCACTGACCCGCATCAACCAAAAAAAGCAGATCAGCTGACTGACCGGATCAATCAGCTGATCGGTCCGGTAGACTCACCGATCATGCTTCTCTCTGCTCTCTCCGTCCTTCATGTGTGTTTACAGTCTGCGGGCCGCAGTGCCCCCTGGGGGCTGTAGTTCTTTTTTCTTCGTCTTCAGTTGACTCCAACAATCAGGCGCATTACCCCCACCTACTGGTTGGAGGTGTAGCTTTAGGGCTGTGTGTCAGGTGTGTGTGTGTGTGTGTGTGTGTGTGTGTGTGTGTACCTGTGTATGGGTATTAATGTCTTCGTGGGGACCAAAATCCCGGTCCCCATTAGTTTGAAGACACTTTTGAGACTCAAAATATGGTTTTAATGTCAGGGTTACATTTAGGTGAGGTTAAGGGGCTAGGGCAGGGGTCAGCAACCTTTAACCCCCGAAGAGCCACTTGGACCCGGTTTCCACGCAAACAAAAACACTGGGAGCCACAAATACTTTCTGACATCTAAAATGAAGATAACACTGTATACATTGTTTTTTTACCTTTATGCTTTGTGTGAGCAACTAAGGTGTGTTGCTTATGAAATCCATGAAGTGCTACAGAGAAAACTACATTTTATTTATGTAATTAACACATTTTGAACTCTTAAAGAAATATAACAAAAAGGAAAGACACTCAGTTGAAGGTCTCTTACATGAATTTAAAAGCTGAACTAAAATGATCCATGTAGCAAAGAAAAACTGTTGAGAGCCGCCACCCTTGTATCGCCTTTGGGTTTTTGGAGCTTTGACCTGAATGTTAAAAAATAATTGGAAAAAAACACTATGCTGCTAAAAAAAATATTGCAAAATTCTGCATAAATATGTATTTTACCATGTTAATGTGTGTGGCGGGGCGTGGTCTGCAGCGCCGCTGCAGGGAGTCGGATGCACCTGAGCGGCACCCAAAATCACAAGTCTGTGCTCTCTATGCTGTTGTGTTGGTGTGTGTCGGGCTGTGAGCTGCAAAGCTACAGCCTGCTGTGTGCGTACAGCAACCGTGTGCTGAAAAACGTGTTCATGCAAACATCGTCGGGCCTGCCGTGACTTCTGCTCCTGAACCTCTGCGCACAGCGTCTGCAGATCAGGGCTGTACGAAGTCACTTTCATCTTTACAGGACTGTAAGCTGTCGTCTGTGAGGCGTGAGCGTGTTTGTTTTTAACACAGTTCACGGTGGAGAACAGCTGCTGACATAATGTGGATCCGAAGATCCATAACTGGCCTACCTGGGGTCGAAAGTCTCGATAAATGCACAGCGTTTCGGCGGCTACACCGGCTTCCGCCAGTGTGACGCTTATTTTGAGCAACGAAAAATAATGAAATATAATTTTATTTTTATATTTCAATATCACAATAATCTTCCAATGTAGAACTACAAGTTAAAAAAGAACTAAACACAAATAAAATACACTTCAGCTAAACACTTCTCATTTATTTTACCCAAACCACGCGGGGCCGCAGTATAAGGACCAAAGAGTTGCATGCGGCTCCCGAGCTGCAGGTTACCGACCCCTGGGCTAGGGAAGGGTTAAGTCAATGAGATGTCCCCATGAGGATATGAATACACACACGTGTGTGTGTCTGTGTGTGCGTGTATCTGTGTGTGTGTATCTGTGTCTATGTGTTTGTCCGGGTTCCTCACAGTTGCCGGTTGAATTCTTGTTCTGACATCCCGACCTCTGTCTGATGCCCAGTTATTGATTATGATTTTCAAGGAAATGACGACTGCAGCAGGAAGTGGCTCAGTTTCCCTTTCTGACAGTTCACCTGCTCCCCTGCAGAGGGCCTGGCTGATTTATTTGAACTCTGGGTTTAAAGGCCTCGAGAGCTTGAGAGAGGAGGTGAGGAGAAGTGCAGAGCGGTGCGCTGAGAAGTGGAACGACCTCACACTCGTCTCTGCTTAACAATGGGATGCTGCGTGTCCACCGTGCTGAAACTACAATATCCAGAAGATGGACTACAAAACGCAAATCTTCTGGAGGTCATATAAATGAGAGCAGCCTGTGAATGTATCGTGCACTACAGAGGCTGGAAGGAAGAGGAGCATTTGGGGTCAGAGTCACTGATGTCTGCAGAGAACAAACACAGGGTTCCTGCAGAGGCTCAGAGTCTGTTTGTCCCGACAGCTGTGAACAGCAACATTTTGGGCCTTATGCACATGTGTTTGTTTCACTCCCAGGAGGAGAGTATTTAAACGAGTTATGTAAATGTGACACAATTTACTGCATGAAGTCTAACGTGGACGTTAGAAGGGGTCAGCACAGAGACTACAAGCCCATTATCATCAATGGAGCTCCAGTGGAGAGGGTGCAGTCCTTCAAGTATCTTGGTGTCCACATCTCCTCAGACCTGACATGGGCTGCCCACATTCAGGTCCAGACCAAAAAGGCTAGGCAGCACCTGTATCACCTACGACAACTGAGGAAGTTCAGGGTCTCTCCAAAGATCCTCAGGACTTTCTATACAGGCGCTGTGGAGCGCATCCTCACACAGAACATGACATCGTGGTTTGGGAACAGCTGTGTGAAGGACCAAAAAGCTCTCCAGAGAGTGATCCGTACAGCAGAACGCTGCTGCAGGATTGCTCTCCCCCCGCTTCAGGACACCTACACCAGGAGATGCCGGACTAGAGCAGATACTGAAGGACCCGTCCCATCCTGGCAACAAACTGTTCCAACTTCTGCAATCTGGTAGAAGGTTCCGCATCATCCGGGCAAGGACGGAGAGACTCAAGAGGAGCTTCTATCCCCAAGCCATCCGTGCCCTAAACACACACACCCGCCCTCTCACATCATCTATAATTGACTGAGACAGGACTCTTCCAGACACTAAACCAAGGCACAATGTACATTTCAAATTCCTTTAATTTTAAATATGTTTATATTGTCTATCCTGTAAAATAGTCAGATGTCTATTCATATTAATGTACAGAATTCACCTGCTTGCTGCTACTACTGCACATTCACCCAGTGTATATACTATATATATATAATGTTCTTCCTCTAACCCCCCCAATTTTTGCACATGTCGAGGAGCGTGTCAGGCTACATTTCACTGTGTGTTATACTTGTATAACTATGCATGTGACAAATAAAGAACCTTGAACCTTGAACCTTGAACGTGTTCTCCCTGCTGCTGGGACAGGAGGGAGGCTTTATCAGGACGGGCGTCCTAAAAAGCTTCATTCTGTTCCTCAGTAACACTGTTTGTGCAGGGTCAAAGGTCATCAAGAAACCAACCAATAGGTTTCAGTCAATTTTGGTGGCTCCACCCACCTGATAAAACCCCAGATCATCCAATCAGAGCTGGCTGAGGCAGCTGGACCACTGAGGAGATGCTGTACAGATGGTTCTGTTCTGTAGAACGTCATGTGACTAACATGTCACATGACGTTCTTCCCACTGAGTTCTCTCTTTCTTTCGAATGACATCATTGTGTGTGTCCATTCAGAACTCCATTTGAATATGAATCAGTGGTCGCTGGGCGGAAAACAGCCGACACAAAGACTCCTTCACTGTGCCCCCCCTTACTTCCTGAAACCAGCCGGCCTTCTTCATGAAGACCGTTTTCTTTTCTTCCCTGTTGAAAGACGCTCTGAGAGTCTAACGCTGCTGACAACGGGAGGAGGAGGAGGGGGAGCGGGGGTGCGCTCCGGCCTCCTTTCAAACAGCTCGGAGGTCTGGACTGAACCCAAACAGCCAGAGCTGATCCAGGACTCCTAAAAGGCCCGACTGTGGGAGAAAATGTGAAAGGAGCAGGACGAAGAGGAAGACGTGGTGGCGTCTCCCTGACTCCTCTTCGGCCTCCTCATCTTAGAGGAGATGCTCCTTTAATGAAAGTGTCTGTGGTGATTTGTGGGGTTGGTAATCAGTCTGAACCAAAAACCACGACCTTTTCCCAGGACCTCCTTCGTCCATCAGAGGAGGAGGAGGAGTCCCAGAGAGGGTAGGCACGCAGGGGAGCAGGAATGCTCACTGCATGTCCTCACAAACTGAACCTGGACAGTCAACACATAAAGAGCTACCAGTACTACTACTATATACTGTATCATACACTGTATGACACCCAGCACTACACTACAGTACTGCAGTACTCTGTGCAGTACTACAGCTGCTGACTGAGCTTTAACTCAGTTTGACTCTGTCAATGATTCCTGCAGAGCCGCACCTGTGCAGCTGTGTGCAGGTATGATAATGACTAAATCGCCTATCTAGGGGCGATCGTGGCGATTGTGTGTTCGTCTTGTAATCGGAAGGTTGCTGGTTCGAGCCCCGGCTCGGACAGTCTCGGTCGTTGTGTCCTTGGGCAAGATACCTACCGCCTACTGGTGTTGGCCAGAGGGGACGATGGTGCGATATGGCAGCCTCGCCTCTGTCAGTCTGCCCCAGGGCAGCTGTAACTACAACTGTAGCTGCCTCCACCAGTGTGTGAGAGTGAATGAATAGTGGCATTGTAAAGCGCTTTGGGTGCCTTGAAAAGCGCTATATAAATCCAATCCATTATTATTATTATTATTATCTCCCTCCTGTAACCACGCCCACCCCTCGCTGAGCCTGGTATTGCCGGAGGTTTCTTCTTGTTAAAAGGAAGATTTTACTTCCCACTGTCACCAAATGCTTGCTTTACCTTAGAATATAAAGCACCATGTGGCCGGGGCCTTTCCACAGTTTAAACACACACAGTTAGTGGGGTTAGTTTAATCGATGATTTGGAATTATCCGTAGGTGTGAATGGCTGTCTGTGTTAGCCCTGCGTCAGACTGGCGACCTATCCAAGGTGTACCCTGCTTCTCAGCCTTTGGTAAGCCCCCCCATGCCCCACGACCCTGATAAGTGGAAAAGAATGGATGGATGAACCTGCACAGAAACAGCTGTGGAATCTCCTGGAAGCCCTCCCACAGGCAACGGTGCTTCATAGGGAAAAGTAAGAAAGTCAAATGGCAGATCATTCTGTTGGTGTCATTCTCATGTCTGAAGTCCTGCCATTAGTTAATGATTCAATCTTAAATATGTTGGGAGGGGGCTCCCAGGTACCTGCCAGGTACCGGGCGGTTTATAGGTGCCTGGATCCCTGGAACCCTGATTCCGGCTCGCACTGGGGTGGCCGTCCTCTGGCGAGTTCGGCTGCTCTCGCCACTGGTTGTCTGGGACTGCCACCACATCTGGAGCCTCCCTCCTTCTCCTGCTGGGATAGGCAGGTGGATATCGCAGAGATGTGTGGCTTCGGGTCTTCGGTACTCTTGGTGGCTGCGGATGGTCCGATTTTCCTGGGTCCATTTCTGTCTGCTTCTGGTCCTTGGGGGGATTATTGCAACTTCCCACCCTCATTATCAAGTACATTTTGTGACACACATACACACACAAACACACACACCACAAGAAGACTGCTGATGTCTGTCTTTGAGCTTTTAAACCTTCCTCTAAAGATGAGACTGAAGGCTGTGGATATGAAAGGGCTTCACTGAGTCAGCGTTCAGAGAGCCTGATGACAGAGAGCATCTGTGCACAGGTGAGTCACAGGTGCGTGCGCTTGTCCACAGTGTGGATCGAACCGAAGGAGAAGCAGAAGAAGCTCAAGCCAGCTCAGAACAGACCCCATGCAGACAGAGGAGGCTGTGATTCTATCACCGTGACCTTTGACCTTATGATCTGAGGTCAGTGTGACCTACGCAGTCTGAAGGTCTCCTAAAGGTCACATGACAGCGATGTTGTTTGTTCCCACCAATCAGAGTGGGCAGAGAGGTCCGCAGATTTCTGTCGTTCCAGAAATTCATCCGAAAACAAAATGCCAGTACAAGTACTGCATAAATCTCTGTTACACTGTGGTTCCCTGTAGTACCTCTCAGTACACTGAAGTAGTCTGTAGTACTCGTCAGTGCTCAGCTGACAATGTGGTGCTCTGATCATGTGATCAAAGTAAAGGGGAGAAACTGGAGTGACCTCCTGATGAAACCAGTGGACACACACACCTCGCCTGCGCTCACACACTCTCACTCTGTTGTTTGTCCGTCAGAGAAAACTTTCATTGTTCCACTCGTAACAGGTCGTCCAGGCTCTGGTCACGTGACCCTGTCAGCTGACCCCAGATGGGCTTGTTTGTCCACCCGACTGACCTCCACCAGCTGAAAGACGTCCTAAAACCAAAACGGTGACTTTTTGTCTGTTCAGACTCAGAGCCTTCAGCTCAGGCTGAGCAGCCTCCGTTTTATTATCCAGTTTTATGATATTTACACATATGCTTGGAGCAAAATCTGCGGAAATGTTTGGCTTCTATAAAATTTTGAGATTTTATCTGTGCTGTGTGTAATTTTGAGGAACTTTCTGGTATCGTTGTAACGTCGTAGAGCATCATATTAAAATAATGAAAATCTGTGCGGTAGCTCTCTCCTCTCATGTGATATATCACTCGATAAGATTTCTTAAACTTGTTCCCTGAGATGGTGGACAGAGCTGCAGATCCATGACAGCCTTACACAGTTAGCTAGCAGCTAATGACCAGGACACGTGTGCAGGTAATAAAGGACAGGTAATGTACAGGCACACACACCATGTTTCCACAGAACAGCTGACCCACGTGTCCATAATAAGCTAACACTCCTGTGTTTTGTAGACTACAGTGTAGGCTATTCACCTACTTACTGGTTTCTGTTGCCTCAGTCTGCGTCTCCCAGTTACTTTCTGTTTCTCACAACTCCTCACAGCTCAAGTGTCAAAACATGTAGGGGCTCTTTGCGAGCTGGTTCCCAACTCGTATCTGCAGTCAAGAGCGATCACTGGTTAATGGTCATCATGTGACAGATGCAAGAAAGATCCTTTAATTTAGCAGAACTGTGATTAAAAGTTAAATATTATTGTTGAGGAGCACAGGCAGGACGCCACACATACACAAAAAACCCTCAACAAAAGGGCACTTTGGGTCCACACCAGGAAAGGGCTGGGCAGGCAAGGAAAAAACTACTTTCAGTAATTGTTAACTCAGAGCTAGTAGAGCACAGGTGTCCAACTCCAGGCCTCGAGGGCCGGGATCCTGCAGGTTTTAGATGTGTTTATGATCCAACCCCTGAGGTAAGTGTACAGGTGAGCACGACGGTGAGGATGCCTTCATTACAGGAAGTAAACACCTCCTCACGGAGGTGACGGATCAACCCTTAAACTCTTCATGAGCTGCTCTGAGGAGCAGCTGCACCTGCTCCTCTTCATCACGCTTCTCCTCTTCATTTCCCTCCTGCTCTTCATCACCCAAAGCGATTTTCAGCCAAACTCACAAAGAAGAAAAGTTCTTGTTTTCCCCTCCTTTGTTCTTCTGTGAGTCCCAGGCTCTGGAGAGGAGGTGGGTGATGAAGAGGGAGAGGAAGAGGAGGAGGCGGACGAGACTCATTTCCATGTGAAAAAAACCATTAAAACCAATAAAACTATTTAGAGGGACACGTTCAAACGGAGCAGCTTTATTGATGGTGACGCCTGGGAACAAAATACCACACACACGTTAGTTAGTTAGTTATTTGGTTAGTTAGTTAGTTAGTTAGTTAGAGTTTTATTTTGAAGCCCCCCCCGTGTGCGCGGAGCGGAGGCTCAGAGCCGCTGCTGGCCGACACACAGCGCTGTTCTGCGCGGAGCGGAGGGCGGAGAGCCGGGCAAAGCCGAAGCAGCTGGAGCGTTAAACCCGGACTCGGAGCCGAGCGTGCGGGACTCAAGGCGCCTCCGTGTCTGGAGCGGGTCTGGATTCATGCTGATGCCGTGCAGTCCGCTGCGGTCCGGATCCGTGTAGTTCGGCGGGTCGTGGTGGGGAGGATGGAGGGGAGGGAGAAGCCCAGACCCGGTCCGGATTACCTGATGCAACTCATGAACGACAAGAAGCTGATGAGCGGTCTGCCGAACTTCTGCGGAATCTTCCAGCACCTGGAGAGGCTCCTGGACGAAGGTGAGACCCGCACGAGGGTTTAAATCAAAGGAAAAGTTTACTGAAACCATCCTGATACTTTTTCTTTTAAAACTTCTACAAGTTAAAGTGCTGGCAGTACTACATGTACTGCAGTAAGTACTGTCAGAAAGTGTGCTATGTGTTTTCAGAGTAAAAGTACTGTCTGAAGCATACTCGAGTAACGTATCATACTTTAGTGATCATGGATTTTAATAACTGATCATCATTTATTGATTTCATTGATCAGAAAGATTAAAAAACAAATGGGTGAGCTGGCACGTTTAACCCCACCCACAATTTTCACTAATCAGTAGGAATCCAACTCAGTCACTTTACAGCCTCATTGCATTATTAGGGGCATGGCCTCTGTGACTGACAGGTGGATGGGACACAGGCGGCTCTTGTTGCTGTCTGCTAGCTTCTCCTGAACTGGACCTCGGCTGTGTTTGTGCTGTTGGAGCCTTCTGGGCTGCTGTGAGGTTATTGTGGTCATGTGACTGCTGACATTATGTGGCAGTGCTCCAGCGGACATCGAGGTGGAGGAATGAGAACATCTGGTTCAGTTTGTGTGCGCACAGATGTTTTCTGCAGGTGTGAATGTTTGAATAAAGTTTCACAGTTTGAGAAGGACTGAAATACAAGAAGCTCATGGTCAGTGAGGGTCGATTGATCTGCAGACTGATGCAGCAGACGTCCACCTGTCTCACATTAGCTCACCTGTGTCTCTGTCAGGTGATCTGCTTTTCCATGAAGTTCATACTTCGAGCACGCTGAGGCTGGCCGGCTATCTGTAAGTTAGCCACACATGCCCAGATGAGCTTTGCTATCACTACACTGACACTCAGGTGTGCAGGATATAGACACGTCTGTACAGCACACGCCCTCCAAGAAGCTCTTTTTATACCCAGTCATGAGACTGACCTGCTGCCCGCTCACCTGATTGGCTGCTAAACACCAGGCTTTTTGGAGACAATTCAAATATATCTGATATTTATATTAAAACGGTGAAATGATTTCCTCAGTTTAAACACTTGATTTCTATAGATAATGAAATATGACTCAATATTCTGCTTACATTTACATTTTCTCAGCGAGTGAGCTTTTTTAGAGCCGGGTTGTAGATGCTAGGGTTAGACTGCATTTCACTAGATGGCCACAGGGGGTATTTACCTAATAAACACTTAATAACAGTTAGGTTCGTTTACAGTAGAGTCCTGTGAACTCGGACCAACATGGCCAACGTGTCAGGTGTGTTGTTTACCTGTGAGTTACTGATGTAGAAAGTGCGCTGTGATTGGACGGCTAGACCTGACGCTAGGGAGAATTGTGGCATGTGTCTGAACACTGCTTTTCCAACAGCACCTGAACACACCACAGTATGAAACCTTACTCCTCTTTATTTCTGTCCTCTGTGTGCGTCTCAATTACACTAAGTGCAGCTATTCATCATTTAATTGGTCTAATCAATTAATTCAAAAGCTCAGATGAAGTGTGTGTGTGTGTGTGTGTGTGTGTGTGTGTGTGTGTGTGTGTGTGTGTGTCAGTCAGAGAGAGAGAAGAAAATCAATTTACCCAGAATCCCCTCTGGCTGGCGTCCCTGCTGTAATAGCCTCAGACAGTAAAACCACTAGTACCAGTGTGTGTGTGTCTGTCTGACTTTGTGAGGACCAACATCCCATTTTAACCATTGTAGAGAGGACATTCCTGCCTGTTAGGTCTCTGTGTTGACTCCTCAGTGTAAGATGATCCTTTGAAGACCTCTGTGATGGTTCACGTTGGAATCAGGGCGACAATGAGGGTGACGAAGAGACCATGTGAGGACATGGTGCTTATACGATAACCTTTCATGACTGGTGATCTCCTCCTCTGCGCCATGACTCGGGGCATTGACATTGAAGTGAAAGTTGTAGGCGGACTGAAAGCACGTTGGTTTATTTTGGAGGTGTGTCCTGAGCAGAGATGGGCAGTAACGCGTTACTGTAATCTGATTACTTTTCTCAAGTAACGAGTAAAGTAAGGGATTACTATTGCAAAAACGATAATTAGATTACTGTCACTTTCCCATAGGAACGCTGCGTTACTGCGTTACTAAAACCGTGATTTTTGTCTGTCTCATGACAGTGACGTAAGCGAGTGCGACGTCCGTGACAACAGCTGTGTGCAGATCAACAATGGATCACATATCGAGTGCAGAGAGAGTATGAGCGTGCAGCGTTTAAAGCGTGGAAGTACTGACCTTACTTTGAGTTTGATTCCATAAAAAGGGACAAAAACATTAGTGTCCGCTGTGCGTGGGAAGAAAACTTCTTTTTACAGCGAAAAAACCCCTAAACTTCCAACAAGCACCGAGTAGCTACGACGTAATGGGAAACTCACAGAGAAACTCACGGATTCTTCCACTGACCGCAGCACACCTGCACCAGGGTAAACCTCCGCCTACCCTGCTCCTGCTTTACAGGTGAAAATAGAGCAACAGGACCGCTGAGTCTTTGACTTTATTTATTTTCTGCTGTGTTTTACTTGCATCTATTTGAAAGACTGAGTGTAAACACACAAAATATTTTATTTTATGTGCTGGAATGTGCAGAAAATAGGTTTAAATGTTAAACTAATTTATTCCAGTCAGAGAATGTTGCATATAATTAAATCTTTGCTTGATGCATAAAGTTAAAAGATTAAAACTGATAAAACAAGTTTTAAAAAGATACTTTTCCATTTGATTACATTTTGTATGATAGATTATGCAGAAAAAGTAGAATTGGGCTGAAAGATCTATCGCTTTATCACCTCTTCAGGTTGTAAATCATGTTTTTAAAAAGTAACTAAGTAACTAAGTAATTAATTACTTTTGAAAATAAGTAATCAGTAAAGTAAGAGGGTTACTTTTGGGGGGAAGTAATCAGTAATTAGTTACTGATTACTTTTTTCAAGTAACTTGACCAACACTGGTCCTGAGGGCGGGTTGCCTGCTCCCATGTTGCTGGTTATTGTGGCCGTGATGCTGCAGGAGCTGCAGACTGTGAGGAGCTCACTTGATGTGATGGAAAGTCTCTGATGCTAACCAGCAGGTTAGTGTGTTTCTAACCTGCTGAGGAGATGCTCAGGTGTTTCCTACCTGTGCAGCTGCTTGTTTCCTGTTTCCTGCTCACAGACGTCTGCTGCAAACAGCCGTCTGACATGAGGATGAACTCAGAACTCAGAGTTGCATGTTCGTGTGTGTGTGTGTGTGTGTGTGCGCGCATGTGTGTGTGTGTGTGTGTGTGTGTGTGTGCGTGTGTGTGCGCACTCCTAGCTCCTGATTGGCTGATGGTGAGGGCTGTTTTGTTGCTCTGAATCACCACACAGACAGCTTCATAAAGTCTCCCAGCATGCATTGCGAGGGAGAAATAAATCTTACCGGGGTGGTGGTCAGTATAAGATGTGCGATCATCATGGAAACAGTTACCTGGGATACTGCAACTTCCTGTGAAAGCTGCACTGGTTTCACGTCCCTACTTGCTGCTGTTTCAAGACAGAAACAAAGAGCTGAGCTGCAGCTTAAACACACTTTCAATGCCACATGTTAAACCAACATGCTAAAAACATGCACATGAAAGAATACAGAAGCAACACAGGAGTCCTGAGGAACCCCACAGCTAGCTGCTATAACACAGAGTTTTTAGCTGGTTTCTAACTACAGACCTCTCCAAAGGTCTGCTGGCCTAAGTCTTCGTCTGCAGGGTGATGTCAAATGATTGTTGTCACATGTTGTTTTGCTTTTTTGCTTTATTTTGTAACCAGACATGTCCCAGTGTTAAACATTTGCAGGACCAAATCTGTCAAAGTTATCACAGTGATAAAGCTGCGGCTCTGTAAAGGAGAAAGGACCGAGAACACCAACCGTTATAACTGCAGTAAAGGTGGATGGTGGTCTCCACAGAGGGGGGACCCATCAGCAATCAGCCGCCTGTAACACAGTCTTCAGACCTCCTCTCAGGTGGTTCGACACCAACTCACAGCTTGACCCATAACTCACATGATTACAGGGTGGGTCAGCAACTGTGAGGATGACCCCCGAGAGGACAAGCCTACCAGAGGACAAAGACCCGAGACACCACATCGTTCTGTCCAGTGAAACATTTGCAAGAACCTCCAAATGCCTTAAACTTAAGAACTTAAGGAGTTGCAGGACCTAGAAGACTAAGAAACCACACAGGTTAAAGTGTTCTCTTCAGTTGAGCTTGATCTGTGAAACATGAACATTATTACACTCAGCTGTTCACTGATCAGGCTCAACATGAAGGGAAAGCTGACCGATGTTTGCAGGTCAGGTTATCGTCTGGCTGCTTCAAGGTTCAAACTCCACGAGGAGAGCAGCAGTCACACACATCATCAGTTCCACCTTCATCATCCATCACATCCATCTCACCTGCAGATACAAGAAGCTAAAGAGGACACGGGAATGACAGATCATGGAATCAGGTGAGAACATCATCGTCACCTCAGGTTTCAGAGGTTCGCACGGTGATGTTTGGAAAAATATGAACACGACCTTTAAATCAGTTACAAATATAAAACCTGAATGTCTGATCAGATTTACTCCAAACACAAAGAAAAGGTGAGCAGCAAAACAAAACGCAGAGAAACAGTGCCTCCAGCGCTGAAAACCTGAACATAAAGGACAAGTCTGAAGACGGCGCGCTCAAACATCGGTTTTCAGTTAAGTTTGATTCCAGCTGTTTGTTTCCCTCCGAGCTCCATCAGCTCCTCTTTACCTGCTGCAGGTGTTTTAGTGCTGATGGCCTGTGCGTCCCACTCACCTCTGCCACGAACGCCAAACAGAATCAGCTTCTGATTGGCCAGACCGCAGAACAGTTTTCCACTTCCTGCGTGTGTGTGTGTTTCAGAGATCAGCCGCGTGAGGAAGGACATGTACACGGACACGCTGAACGGATCGGAGAAGAGCAGCGAGCTGCCGGACGCTGTCGGCCCAACGGTGCAGCTGCAGGAGAAACTCTACGTCCCCGTGAAGGAGCATCCCGACGTATGTCTGTGTGTGTGGATCATCGTGATGCACCAATAATAATTCATTTCCTGTGTTTCCATCAGTGTTGCTCTGTTTCAAAGTTTTACGACTCAGTAGATTCATTCTAACTATTTATGGCTATTTCTGAAAGAGGATTGGCTGATTAGTGCTTAGGTTGTCATGGTAACAGGCTGACCTGTGTGTGTATGTCAGTTTAACTTTGTGGGGAGGATTCTGGGCCCTCGCGGTCTGACAGCGAAGCAGCTGGAGGCTGAAACTGGATGTAAGATCATGGTGAGAGGAAGAGGCTCTATGAGAGACAAGAAGAAGGTAACGTGCACATGCACACACAGCATGTCAGGTATTCATATCTTGTGGGGACATGTAATTAACACAATGCGTTCATTAGCCCCTAACCATGAAAAATGAATGCCTAACCTTGAGCCTAAGCCCTAGCTATCACCCTGACACTAAAAACACATTTAGTCTCAAACATGCCTTCAGACTTGTGGGGACCAGGATTTTGGTCCCCATAAGTGTAGTAAACTTCCAATTATTGCTACCCACAAAGATATGAATACACGCTCATACGCACGCACACAGAAGGCATAAGATGAAATTTTTCTTCTTATATTTCAAATATTTGATTTTCTTGGTTTAATCAAAGCAGTGACGTAAAAAGTGAAAATGCCTGACACTGAAACACAGTCAGAGGTCAGTCAGCAGATTTTCATTTAAAGAACAACACATATGAAAATACACATCTGGTGTAGATATGCAGGGATGATCCAGAGACAGAACACGTGAGCCTGAGCATCACTCAGATGTGTTTCAACATTTAAAACGAACGAAGAGCCTTCTCTTTGTTTGAGAAGCTAGAAGAGTGAGAACGTGCACGGCTGCTGAGGTATGACACATTTCCTTATCACAGAGAGTGTGTTCTTATGAATTTTATTCCAGATGTTAGGGTTAACTCTGCATTCTGCTTGTGTTTTATTGTGCATTTTCTGAAGGACTTTGTAACATTCGGTTTGATGTGTGCACAGAGGAGATCAGTCAGAATAGAACGTGTCAGTAGAATTAGGTCGCTCAGTGAAGTGACCGCTTATTGTTGTGAATCTGCAGGTTCTGAGTGCATCAACGAACGCTGAGCTGCGTCTTTCCTTTTACTTGAACTTCTATCCTATCACAGCGAACGTCCACTCAACCCGAAACAGATACCTGCAGAAGAACATGCAGGATCCAGCCTGAGCTCAGTGGACCAAACCAGTTTGAGCAGGGTCTTTCTTCATGCAGGTGCAGACTAATGTGGGATGGGCCTGATTGGAGAAATAGTTCATGTCCGAAACAGGAAGTATCTGTGGCTCCAACGAAGCCCGAAAATCTGTCGCTGTCTCAGATGGATGGTCTGTCCCTAAAACTGAGACTTTCACTGATTAGAGTTCAGTTTGAAAACTATAAAAATAAAGTCACACATCCTTCCAAAAAAGCTCTTAAACTCTTCTGTTGCTTGAACTTCAAACTGAAGCCAAAATCCCAGCTTGCATTCTGAACTTTATAAAGTTTCATTCTGCTTTGGCAGAAAGGACAGGACATTTTGGGTTAGGGTTAGGTCCTGTCAGACTGAAGAAAGACTTGTGACATGAATTTGTCTTTAGCTTGAGATTTTAAATACAACTCCGAACAGGATGTTGCTTCATGCACCCGTGTGTCAGAAAGTTTGTCTGCCAACTTTCAGGAAGAGCTGAGACTCTAAAATAAGAGCTGACGAGCTGCTTCCTGTGAAAGCTCTGAGTCTGCAGAAGCAGCCGAGTCACACGGTCTCCTCAGGATTAAGACTCTCTGAATGATTCACAGTGAAGAAACTATTTCAAACATTTCAGGTCAAACTGCTGAAAAAACATGCGTGTTTGTGTTTCTGCGTGTGTGACGCTGACAAGGTTAGCCACCTGCTACGCTAACAGAGGTACATGAGACAGGCGTGGCAACAGTTCAACACAAGCCAGATGGAGCTAGAGGAGAGGGAGGACAATGAATGAGGGGGGTGTTGGTTTTGCACTGATGTCGTGCTGAAACTCATACAGTTTTTGTTAAGACCACTCATCTGTGCAAGAAAACGATCGTCCAATCATCTGCCGATCCTCTGCTAACTCAGCAGACTTCCTGCTAACACGCTAACAGGCTGAACGCCAGCAGAAGATCGCAATATATAGCATGCTGTAGGTATTACAGGTACTGTGCTGCAGTGGTTTGTGTCATATCTATCTAACAGACTCAATTTGTTCGTATAAATGGAGAATCTACTTCACACACTGAGGTTAATTATGGAGTTCCACAGGGTTCAGTGCTAGGACCAATTCTGTTTACATTATACATGCTTCCCTTAGGCAGCATCATTAGAAGACAGACCATACATTTACACTGCTATGCAGATGACACCCAGCTCTATCTGTCCATGAAGCCATATAACACACACCAATTAGTTAAAAAGTGTAACCAATTAGTTAAACTTTGACCAGGACATGTCCTTCAATGCAAATATTAAACAAATATGTGAGACTGCTTTCTTCCATTTGTGCAACATCTCTAAAGTTAGAAATATCCTGTCTCAGAGTGACGCTGAAAAACTAGTTCATGCATTTATTACTTCCAGGCTGGACGACTGTCATTCATTATTATCAGGAAGTCCTAAAAACTCCCTGTAAAGCCTTCAGTTAATCTCAGTTTTTTTTAACCTTATAATATAAATTACCTTGAGGTGACTGTTGTTGTGATCTGGTGGCTTACTTATAGTTCCTAGAGTATTTAAAAGTAGAATGGGACACAGAGCCTTTAGCTTTGAGGCCCCTCTTCTGAGGACTACAGACAGTGAATGTAAAAACAAACTGTAACTCCCTGGATGCATTTCACCAAAGTCAGTCAATTGTGAACACCAGACAGCATGTGAATATTTACTACTTGTCTCTGTCTTCACTCATGTCTCCACCTGCAGGAAGACCAGAACAGAGGGAAGCCAAACTGGGAGCACCTGAACGAGGACCTTCATGTCCTCATCATGGTGGAAGACGCCCAGAACCGAGCCGACATCAAACTCAAACGAGCTGTAGATGAAGTCACCAAGCTGCTCGTGCCTGCTGTGAGTCCCCTGACCTCTGACCTGTGTGTGTTTTTGTGAGGACAAAGGAAGTTCTACATATCCAGGCTTTCTTCAAGTTCGCTGGCTTGATGAACTCTAAAACTTGCTATTTATCAACTTTTTCTGTTAAGCCGGGATCTCTATTAGCGCCAGGTGCTCTGACCAGAGACATTAAAGGTCTATGATGATGATGAAACCTGTAAAGAGGTGAACCCCTCAGAGGTGGAGCAGCAGAAACTGGTTAATCTGCTGATTTGTGACAGAGAAGAATAAAGGTTTGAATGGCAGGAAGGATGTTGCTCTGAGCGCGCTCAGCGCTGCTGTTTGTTTCCTAGGTGACAGCTTCACATCACAGCTGTGAAACATGACAGCTTCCTGTCCCACAGCCTGATGAAGGGCACGTGAGATCAGATCAGAGGGAACGAATGTGATTGGTTGAAAAGGCGTTCATGTTTCATGATCACATGAACACTTGATCACATGAAAGGTAAATGGCCTGTATTTGTATAGCGCTTTACTAGTCCCTAAGGACCCCATAGCGCTTTACACATCCAGTCATCCACCCATTCACACACACATTCACACACTGGTGATGGCAGCTACATTGCAGCCACAGCCACCCTGGGGCGCACTGACAGAGGTGAGGCTGCTGGACACTGGCGCCACCGGGCCCTCTGGCCACCACCAGTAGGCAACGGGTGAAGCGTCTTGCCCAAGGACACAACAACTGCGACTGTCCAAGCCGGGGCTCGAACCAGCAACCTTCTGATTACAAGGCGAACTCCCAACTCTTGAGCCACGATCGCCCCATGAACACGTGCACTTTCAGTCTGATCTGCTGGAGCTTCTTCATTCATTGCTTTCAGGAACATGCTGCACACAGAGAATCTCTCACTCTGAAAACATGCTGCATTAAAGAATCAGAGGAAACTCTGAGCCTCACCTGGTGATGCTCAGCATCAGTCACCATGGTGATTTGGCAGGTAAACGGACTCGGGTCGCTGACATCAACCTCACTTTGGGGTTTCAGCCCTTGGGCTTTAACCTTCATGTTCATGTTAGAATCACTTCTAGATTTAGGAGTGTGTGTGTCTGTGTGTGTTTGCGTGTGTGTGTGTGTGAGAGAGAGAGAGACAGGAAGTGCAGTGATTCTGCTGATCTTCACTTCCTCCACTCTCACTTCCTTGATTTGTGCAGAGGCAGGAAGAAAAAAAACTAGGAAGTGAGTCTGGGCACCTGATGATTCTCTTTGTGTGTGTGTGTGTGTGTGTGTGCGTGTTTTCTAACAGGAAGTTGGAGGGAGGCATTGAAGTTACTTTCATGTTGCAGAGACACAAAGTGGTTTAGAAGTCAGTTTGTAGTTGGACTGAAGAAAATGAAAGATGTTAACTGACGAGCTGATTGTCTAACGAGCTCGTGGCAAGTGTGTCGTGTGTGTTTGATGTTGTGTTGTGTTTCCTCTCAGGAATTGGTAGAAATAATCGCCGTTGTGTGGTGGACAGCAGCGCCCCATGTGGTCTGCACAGCCCTAAGCAGGCTGGTTACTGAGCGTGCTCATAGGATACTGTAACCATCATGAGTTCAAGTCATCTTAATGTGACAAAAGTTTATTTCTGGGACTTGAATGGTCTCTAGCATATCGAGACTATCTCTCCACACCGTTATATATTCCATATATACGGGGTACGAACCCCCTTGGTCGTGGGGCGTTGATAATTCTTTAAGACACTCCAGCTTGCCCGGCCACGCCCCACAGCTCACGTATAAAACAGCTGTGCAGACATGACATGACTGTTTGACGTGATTGTTTGATCTCCACTTGTGTCGTGTGTGTGAGTGACTTTTCTTCGAGAGTGCTGTGTGTGTGTGCATCCGTCAGGAGCCTCTTTCGGCAGCCTCCCTGGGTGCTAGCCTCTCCCCTGCCCTTTCCCTTAGCTTGGTCTCCCTTAGCTGGTTTCCCTCAGCCGTGGTTCCCCTTAGCTTGGTTCCCCTTTATCTTTCCCTCGGCCCCGGTTTCCCCTAGTTGGTCTCCTGTGGCCCGGTTCCTTTGCCGATCGAGCTGCCGTCTGTGTGTGTGGCATCTTGCCCGTGTTCCCTCGGCATCTTGCCCGCCTTGCAGGCTTCACGGCACTGGGACTTCGCTGTGCTACAGCTGGCGAGTGAGCATTCTCCGGTCTGTTAGCCTGTCTGCCGTTGCCCATAGCTTGGGTGCAGCCAGCAAGACTCGGCTCGTTGCTCGGCTACAGTGGGAAGGATGTCAGATTTCCAAGCATACGCTTTCACCTGTCACCTGTCACCCACCTGTCCCTGGGCTGCCCCCTGCTGGTCCCCAGGCACAGTGTCGGGCAAAATGGGTCCCTTCAGCTCTTAATTAGAGCATGACGGGTGTGGGAACTAGCCTTTCCTGAGGTCCCATCTAGTAGAGCGAACCTCAAGGTTGATGATGTCATACAGCCACAGCGCCTCCTATCTCATGTGCCGCTGCTGCCTGATTGGTCTGGTTGCAGGCAGTGAGTGTGCTGCATCCCAGCATTTGTGGTCCCCTGCCCGCAGATGGTTGCTGCTATGCATGGTGGGAGTAGTTTGCCTTTGGCCCCTCCCCCAATAGCCCTGTCCCTGGTCTCTTTGGACGCCCCTTCGGGCCCTCCCTGGGCAGGGCAGCATGCCCTAACAGGGGCGTGAGGGTAACTGATGCCCTGCTGGCGGCCATTTCGTCGCTCCCTCTACAGGGATGGAGCTTGACACGTCAGCTGCAGGCAGGCTGGGGACATGGAGAGCCCTCCCCAATCTTGTGCCTCTTGGGCTAAAATGGAGATGATGGCTGCAGCGTTGCCTCCCATTGCCCCGCCTCTGTGAGGCCTGTGCCGGTGGAGGTTGATTCTCAGGAGGATGATGTTTATGACGCTTGACTCTGGTCAGACGACCAGGGTTACAGTGGGGCAAAAAAGTATTTAGTCAGCCACCGATTGTGCAAGTTCCCCCACTTAAAATGATGACAGAGGTCAGTAATTTGCACCAGAGGTACACTTCAACTGTGAGAGACAGAATGTGGAAAAAAAAATCCATGAATCCACATGGTAGGATTTGTAAAGAATTTATTGGTAAATCAGGGTGGAAAATAAGTATTTGGTCAATAACAAAAATACAACTCAATACTTTGTAACATAACCTTTGTTGGCAATAACAGAGGTCAAACGTTTACTATAGGTCTTTACCAGGTTTGCACACACAGTAGCTGGTATTTTGGCCCATTCCTCCATGCAGATCTTCTCGAGAGCAGTGATGTTTTGGGGCTGTCGCCGAGCAACACGGACTTTCAACTCCCGCCACAGATTTTCTATGGGGTTGAGGTCTGGAGACTGGCTAGGCCACTCCAGGACTTTCAAATGCTTCTTACGGAGCCACTCCTTTGTTGCCCGGGCGGTGTGTTTTGGATCATTGTCATGTTGGAAGACCCAGCCTCGTTTCATCTTCAAAGTTCTCACTGATGGAAGGAGGTTTTGGCTCAAAATCTCACGATACATGGCCCCATTCATTCTGTCCTTAACACAGATCAGTCGTCCTGTCCCCTTGGCAGAAAAACAGCCCCATAGCATGGTGTTTCCACCCCCATGCTTCACAGTAGGTATGGTGTTCTTGGGATGCAACTCAGTATTCTTCTTCCTCCAAACACGACGAGTTGAGTTTATACCAAAAAGTTCTACTTTGGTTTCATCTGACCACATGACATTCTCCCAATCCTCTGCTGTATCATCCATGTGCTCTCTGGCAAACTTCAGACGGGCCTGGACATGCACTGGCTTCAGCAGCGGAACACGTCTGGCACTGCGGGATTTGATTCCCTGCCGTTGTAGTGTGTTACTGATGGTGACCTTTGTTACTTTGGTCCCAGCTCTCTGCAGGTCATTCACCAGGTCCCCCCGTGTGGTTCTGGGATCTTTGCTCACCGTTCTCATGATCATTTTGACCCCACGGGATGAGATCTTGCGTGGAGCCCCAGATCGAGGGAGATTATCAGTGGTCTTGTATGTCTTCCATTTTCTGATGATTGCTCCCACAGTTGATTTTTTCACACCAAGCTGCTTGCCTATTGTAGATTCACTCTTCCCAGTCTGGTGCAGCTCTACAATACTTTTCCTGGTGTCCTTCGAAAGCTCTTTGGTCTTGGCCATGGCGGAGTTTGGAGTCTGACTGTTTGGGGCTGTGGACAGGTGTCTTTTATACAGATGATGAGTTCAAACAGGTGCCATTCATACAGGTAACGAGTGGGGGACAGAAAACCTTCTTACAGAAGACGTTACAGGTCTGTGAGAGCCAGAGATTTTCCTTGTTTGAGGTGACCAAATACTTATTTTCCACCCTGATTTACGAATAAATTCTTTACAAATCCTACCATGTGAATTCATGGATTTTTTTTTCACATTCTGTCTCTCACAGTTGAAGTGTACCTCTGGTGCAAATTACTGACCTCTGTCATCATTTTAAGTGGGGGAACTTGCACAATCGGTGGCTGACTAAATACTTTTTTGCCCCACTGTACCTGATGGGACTGCCTGTCTACCCTGTGGCCACCTCGCTGTGCTGAGGGGCCTATGCAGGGATGTGGAGATGGCCGTGTTCAGGTGAGGCGGGGAGGACTCGGAGCCTAGGTTCAGCTGTCCTCCAACCACCCTCCTTCTTCCTGAGATCCTTTGAGTTGGGCATAGTGGCCAGCTCCGCTGCAGGCATGGGCCAGCAGTTGACAATTCTCCAGCCTGCGGCGCTGGCTCGGTCTAGTGCGTTGCCCCTGTGTCACAGGTCACACGGCCATCAGGTGCCCGCTCAGTGAGCTGACACTTCCCGACTGTCCGCAGGTGTCTTGTCGGGCCCACTCTTGCTTCCCATCTGGAGCGTCGTCTGCATATCGCGGGTTTCTGTCATGGCGATAGCCAGCTGCCGTGCTCAAGTGGCTTGGTAGGCTGTGCTCTCCTGGAGTATTGCCCGTATTCGCTGGCTTACACGCCAGTTGGACCTCGCTGCGGCGAGTGAGAATTCTCCAGCCTAGTGTAGCCAGTTTTCTGTCTGGTGTGTTACCCGCAGTGCGCCGTTCACACAACCAGCGGGGCTCCTGTCATTGTCGAGCGGAGTGGCTTCTCAGCTCTGACTGCAGTGAGTCAGAGCCAGTCAGTAAGTGAGTAAGTGTTCTCCAGCCTGTAGGGCCGACTGTGCACAAGTAGCGAGTTCGCCCCTGCTACAACAGCACTTAGCAGACGCCCGGCCCTGGGGTGGACCTTCGGGTTGTGTTCCCCACTTGGGCTTCGGCTGGCTGGACCGCCAGCCCCCTCACCAGTCTGCTGACGGCGCAGGGTGGTGTTGCGGCTTGGGGACAGACCCTTTGGGTCACGTCCCTACTTCAGCCCTCTGCTTTCAGCGGCCGTGCTGACGCTGCGGGCTGTGTTCCCCTGGCACATTGCCCACGGTTCACCGGCTTACGCTCCAGCAGCACTGGCTCCCTGTCTGGCATTGCCCACTTCTTGCTGGGTTGTGTGTCCAGTAGGGTCCCCACTCAGTTGCTCGGTGAGCGGCGCTTCCTCTCCTCACTGTGCTCCTAGGATTCCGGGTTCAGGCCCTGTGCACCCCAGGCTCCAGCTGGAGATCATGTGGAGAGCGTGCACACAGGCTCATTGTAGCTGACTGCCTGTGCTTTCTGGCCTGCTAACCATGTGCCGCGGGTTTACATGCTTGTCAGACCTCGCTGTGTCTGACACGGCCTGTGAGTGAAAGCTCTCCAGCCTGCTGACTCCCTATCTGGTGCATTGCCTTTGTGTCATGGGCTTACACGGCCAGCACGGACCCGCTCAGTGAGCTGGGACTTTATGACTGACCTCGAGTGTCTTGTTCGAGTTTACTCTTGAGGTTCATCTGTCTGCGGACAGCACGTGGTGACGGTGCTGGGGGTGGACCTTCGGGTCATCGCCTTGCTCAGCCCTCCACTTCAGCAGGCTAGGCTACCAGGCTATGGCTGGGGTGACTGGAATCCTTGATGATCCTCCCCGCTTTCCTCAGGCAGCGCTTCCTATAGATGTCTTGGAGGGAGGGAAGCTCACCTCCAATTATCCGTTCAGATCACCGCACTACTCGCTGGAGAGCTTTGCAGTTGTAGGCGGTGCTGTTGCCATACCAGGTGGTGATGCATCCAGTGAGGATGCTCTCAATGGCACAGTGATAGAAGGTCCTGAGGATGCGGGGGCTCATGCCGAATCTTTTCAGTCTCCTGAGAAAGAAGAGGCGCTGCTGCGCCTTCTTCACTGTTTTGTTTGTGTGTACTGACCACGTAAGATCCTCAGCCAGATGTACACCAAGGAACCGGAAGCTGCTCACTCTCTCCACAGCAGCGCCGTTGATGGTGATGGGGGTGTGTACTTCTCTGCACCTCCAGAAGTCCACTATCAACTCCTTTGTCTTTGCAACGTTGAGGGTGAGATGGTTGTCTTGACACCAGTGGGTCAGGGCGCTGACCTCCTCCCTGTAAGCCGTCTCATCACCATTGGTGATACGACCCACCACTGTAGTGTCGTCCACAAACTTAACAATGATGTTGGAGTTGTTAGTGGCCGTGCAGTCGTAGGTGTAGAGTGAGTACAGGAGAGGGCTCAGGTTACACAGTAACCGTACGATCTTTTATGATCATTTACTGATGTTTGGATATTTTACAGATTGTTTTATACAACATGAATCTTTCTGTAGTGGCTGATTTCAGATTCTTTTTAAATGTATTTTACAGTTTTTCATACTTTTTAATACATCTGATACTTTCAGGCTGAATGAAATTCTGTGTGAACTTAAGCTGCTGTGTGTGTCGGTTCTGCATGTTCTCACAGCACACGCGTGTCTGAAAGTCGTGTCTGTGTTTCAGGCAGAGGGCGAGGACAGTCTGAAGAAGATGCAGCTGATGGAGTTGGCCATCCTGAACGGGACGTACAGAGACGCCAGCATCAAAACCTGTAAGAGACAGACTGGCCAATCATACACAGTCATTTTAAACATGAATCATTTGTGCCAAATGTATTGGTTAAAATGAAAAATATGAAGCATGCAGTGTTTTAGATGCCATTCACACCGTTTGATTCAGATTTTCATTTTGTCTTTTTACAGCAAGCATACTAAAACTCCTCCCCTTTTTATAAACCCTCCCCTTTCCTGTTACCCATACCCAGCATCCCTCGCCTTTTCTTTCGCAGCATCTAGCGTCTCGCAACAGGCTTCTCGTGTCCTCTCAGGCCCCGCCCCCATACTGGCACCGCCCACTGCCCTGCGTACACCCGCCCCCACAGGCCCCACTCTCATGCCTCTGATTCGGCAGATCCAGACAGTGTTGCCCAATGGAACACCGGCACTGATGGCAGGGGTGGGGCCTGAGTCTGGCCTGATCTACACGACGCCATACGATTACCCGTACACTCTGGCGGCACCAGCGTCCATCTTGGAGTACCCGCTGGACTCTGGGGGGATGTTGGGTAAGCCCGCCCCCCCCTGTTCCTGTGAATGCTCTCCCACCCCTCACCACCACACTCATGGCCAGTGGAGCCCTGCCCCTACACTGGTCCTCCGACATGCTTCCTGAGAGACAAAACAAACAAACGATCAAACAAACACACACACGGCCTTGTGCCTCCTGCTGGACGGATGAGGTCGTCATTGCTCCATCATTATCTGCCGTTTGATTGGCTGAAAATGTTTGAACTGACTTCTAGCACTGATGTCATGTGACCACAGCTTCCTGCATTGAAAACACCCTGTGAACTGAAAACACGCCTCCACTTGCAGACGCTTTCAGGTCGATGCAAACACGCCGATTTTTGGAGAGGAAGTAAAAGTTGATTCAAGTGATTTGAAAATTTGTAATCTTCAGGAAATAAAATTTCAGAGAAAAGTATTAGAAAGGTTTAAATATCAGAATAATGAGGACTTTGGTATTGTGAGAGGAAGAGCTAAATTTACACATCCAAGCATGAAATATTACTTTGGCCTTTATGAGCCACAGTGACCAATCAAAGTGAGGCACTCAAAGGGGTGTCACCTTTGTGATGATGTCTCAGTTCAGTCTCGTCCTGAAAGCCTCTCAGATCTCATCTGGAGTGAAATTGTCTCCCAGTGTGTGCCTTAATGCAAGTTTCTTATTGTTTTCATCACTGACCAACGATGATGTCATGACGTACCTGTTCTGTCACGATGGACAGGTCTGTCCCTGTCCTCCAAGGGCTGATGGGGCTAAACTTCTGCCTAGCCCCGCCCTTCTGGCTGCACGCCTACCTTTCCCACGCCACAGATTCACTTTGATCTGAAGCTATGTTTGTTACAGCCATAATGCAAACACACCTGAAAGGAAGGGTCAGAGCTTTAAAAATGAAATGATTGATAAAACCGTGCTTTAACCAAACACAGACACAGCTGTGGCCGATCAAAGTTTAGATTTTTTAAATTAAAATTTCAGGAATAACTCATCACACAGCCAGAACAAGCGTGGAGTCGTGTTTTATTTGGACTCAGTCTATAATTAAACAAAACTGCTTACAGCGCCCCCTGCTTCAGGCTGTGGACGCTTTATGTCAATGAACACAGAGTTAAACGTGATCCGAGAAAACCAGCCCAGCAAGAAACCAGTAAGAAAACAGGTGGCTTCTGGGAAACGCAGTCCTGATGTGTGACAGTGGCACAGCTGTTCACCTTTAGGCAGAACAGACAGCTCCGTGCTTTTGAAGACTTTACGGATCCTCTGAGGTTAATGAAAAATAATGGACTGTCTTTGAGTGAATTTTTTAACAAACCAACTTTGATCTGGGTTTCAGTTCAGGTCAGACTTTAAGTTAAGCTAGGGTAAGGCCTGTAAAGCTACAGATGTCTGTGGGTTTATTTTACGTTTTCTTCCATTTCATATGTTACTTTAAACATGTTACAGCGTGGATAGATGACAGAGCTAACAGTCCTATAGCTAAGTTAGGTGTGACTCTAGAGGAGACAGTAAACAGGAAGCTTTCAATTAAAGTTCTTGCTATGACGTTTGCTAACAAAACTTACGTCTGTGCAGATCTACGTCTGAAACATCAATGACTTTGCTCATGACGGATTTAATGCTGAACTTTGACCTCAGAGATGATTGGTGATGTGACCAAAGCCCTGGTGGTTACTGACAGGTTTATCAAGTATTCTGGGATCACTATGTGATTAAAACACGCCAACCAGGTGTTTTTGCTGACGGTCAGTGTAGAGCTAAAGTCTACGCTGTTGTTTCTCAAGACATAAATGTGAACATTTCTGATTTTCTCTCTCCAAAAAAGGGCAAAAGATCAAAAATAAATAATGATTTTTTTAAGTTGTATTATATTTCTTGAAATAACAAAAGTCTACATGGTAAAACATTGCTAAAATATTAGCAGCTGTTGACCAATCAGGCCACTAAATTAAATCAGCTAATCAGAGTCCCAGCTTCACTGTGAGGTCACTTCCTGTCAGAAATCAGAAACATGATTTTACTCTGTGAACTTGTAAAGATCAGAAACCTGTTGTCTGCCGGGGGTTTGGTACTAAAACAATCAAACTGTAATCTGTAGTTGGAAAGTAATCAATAGGTAACACTGACACAACTAATGAAACAAATCCGATGAAATTGCACAGAAACCTGGCGTAAACCCGACCGCCACATTAACCGAGTTCATGGTCCGAACACTCAGATGTGAACTTTTATTCACACTCGAGGATCTCTCACAGGATGTCACGTTTTCCTTTAAAACTCGGACTTTGGTTAAAGAGATGATCTGCAGGGTGAAAGGAGACGTACAGAAAGACTTTTACCTGAAAGAACCGAACTTAAAGGATCGTCCACATGCAGTACCACGAGGTGATCACGAGACCTTTCTCATCATGGTGTCTCCCTGGTGAAAACGGTTCGCTGTAAAACTCAACGCCGAGAGATGTTGTAGACTTCACACATCAGGCTGTGATGGCCTCTCGCCTTGCTTCTCTTCATCGCAAACACCGACAGGAACAGCTCGGCAAGCGTCTTCAGAGTGAGGGACGGGAGTCCACCCTTCTCTGGATCAAGAAAATGTGGTTTCATTTTGTTCTCATTTATACAAAGATCAGATCAGAACACAAACTTCCTCTTCCTAGAAGATTTAACAAGGAGGACTGTGGAGGTCCAGGAGACCTTCAGGAAGTGCTTGAGCCGACAGTGATTTTACACCTCTGACATTAATGCGTGTTTCATGTCGGAATTATTTTTCAGACTGGATGTAAACGCGGTCGGTTCAGGTATTCGCCAGCTCCAGCTGGCCAACACCAGCTCATCTAAAGAGTCCTTTATTGCTCAACCACTCAGTCTTGGTTGTTCGTTGAGATGTTGAAGGAGGAAATTGGCCCTAAAGTGGTTCAGGTAGTATGTACAGGTTGCAGCGTGGTGTTAAATGAACATATACCTTTCCTTTCATTCAGAAAAAATTGACCTTTCTGATCTGTTTAAGTTAAACATGAGGACGTTTGTGAGCGATTCCAAACTTTGAGAGTTAGCATTGGTCTGCAGCGGGTTGCATTCAGGTGTAACCAGTAAACCAGAGTGTTTGCTGGTGTCTGGCAGTGATGGTGGTGGTCAGGTGAGGGACAGATGTTCCTAATGAGATTTTAATCTGTATCTGTCTGATCTCTGGAACAGACCTCCTCCTCCTCCTCCTGTGTCAGTACAGCAGATGTTCAAACCTCAGAGAAGATTTGAAGAGAAAAATGTTCGACTTGATGAATGCATCTGACCATTTCAGACACTTTCGTGTCTTACTGTCTTTTTATTTCTATTATTTTAGTTTTATCGCAAAGAGAGAGTAGCTTTTATGTGTAAAAGTATACAAATATATATGTGAGATGTAAAGAGCAGAAGTGTTTATGAAATGTGAAACTTTGCAAAGAGATGCAATAGAAGTAAAAATCTGTAGCAGCTTTTTGAATTTATGATGAAGACAGGGCCTCCTGTTTAGGTGCATGTTTCTATGGATGCTCACGTGTTTCAGCACCACTAGCAAACCTGCTGTTAGGAAAATGTAGCATTGCTTCATGACTTTCATGTTTGTTCTAAACAGAAATGATTCATTTTAAAAAAGAAATAAAAGTTTTACAGAGTAAAAAATGACTCAGAATTTCTTTCATTTCTGCAGGAAGTGAACATCGTGAGTCTTCTCATATTAACCTGTAGCCTACTAAACCTGCTTTGGCTCTGCTTTAGCTCCTGCCTCATCTGGAAACCGGTCTTATTTCACTCAGACTGCTACAGCTCAGTTGGTCCACATCAGCAGAAATGCTCTCAGGCTTTGTATCAGAGCAGATTTGAGTCACTTTTCAAAATAATGCTTCTTTAGGTGATCTTGAACCTCAGTGAAGCTACTCACTTCATGCCTACCTTTTTCTGAATGGACAGTTTCAGGAAGCCTGCAGAGGGGCAGCGCCCACGGCTTTTGATGAGTCCACCTGTCATGTTTCTGGCTGTCTGAGAGTTTAGAGTGTCTGAAGCTGAGCTTTTACCTCTCAGAAACCTTTACCCCACCCTTATAATGGATTGAAGAAATAACCCTGACCCTATGAGTTAATTCAGCTAAAATTTAGTCAGGGTTAAATAATTTGAACAAACTCCATGTAGGGTTAGTTTCCCCAATAATCATGCAGAAAGTTAAAGTTGTGCTTCTTTAAATGAGACCTCAGGTGGTGAGACTAGGGGCCAGAATATCATCCAATCCGGTCCCACACAGGGACAGGGCTGTGTGCTCAGTTCGCCTCTTTTCACTCTTACCAACAGCACAGCTATCCACTCCTCAAACACGGTTCTCAAGTTTGCAAGCGACACCACAGTAGTGTCTCATGACAAACCATGTACAGAGAGGAGATCCCAGTGCTGTTTATTGAACAATCTGATTTGATTTGATTGATTAGCATTCAAATATCTCAGTGAATACAGAATAAAGATGTACCACAAAGCAAGAAAGCATGAGACAAGGCTAATCAAAAGGTCTTGGCTGAATCATTTTCTTATTACGCCAACCCTTTTAACGAAAGATCTTTTTGCATGCAGCTCCTGTACACAGGGCTCGAAGCAAAGAATAAAACAAAGCAAAGCAAAAACAAAAAAACAAACAAAAAAACTTTCCACCTTAGATAAGTAACTACATCAAAGCAGACCAGTCAAGAGTTTCAGTATTATTATTTTTGCTCTTTTCATTCTTGATTTATATATTTTTCTAATACTCTATTTTTAAACATATTTTTAAACAAGGAAAATGAACTACACCTTGTTAAATCACTGTCATAACTATTCCACAGGTTACCTCCTCTAACAGAAACACATCTCTGCTTTATATTTGTCCTTATCTTGTTTTTTTTAAAGAAATCTGTTCCCCTTAAGTCATATTGACTCTCTCTGACTTTAAACAGCTTCTGAGTACTGCAGCAAAGCAAGTTATTTTGTGCTTTATACATTATCTGTGCCATTTTATATTCAACTAAATCATAAAATTTCAGGGTATTCAGATTAATAAACAAAATGTTAGTTGGTTCTATATAGTTTGATTGGTTTATAATTCTTATAGCTCTTTTTTGTAACTTGAAAATAGGAAGAGTGTTCGTTTTATATGCATTACCCCATATCTCCAGACAGTAAGTCATATATGGAAGCAACAGAGTACAATAAAGTGTGTATAATGATTTTTTGTTCAGGACATGCTTTGTTTTATAGAGAATTTTGTTTTCACATGGTTTATATGAGACTTCCAACTCAGCTTATCATCAATTATCACTCCAAGAAATTTATTCTCGTACACTCTTTCAATTTCAATTCCATTAACCCTTATTTTAGATACATTTTTCATTTGTCTAGTGCCAAAAATAATCAATTTTGTTTTCTTTATATTTAATGATAACTTATTTACATCAAACCAGTTTTTTAATATATTTAACTCCTTTTCCGCTGTAGTCAGAAGCTGTTCTAGGTTTTTACCTGAGCAGTACAGAGTGGTGTCATCAGCAAACAATACACATTTTAACAGTTTGGAAACACTACATATGTCATTTATATATAATTTGAATAATTTAGGGCCCAGCACAGAGCCCTGAGGAACACCACAAGTTACCTTCAACTGCTTAGATTTTACATTATTGAATTCGACATATTGATATCTTTCATCCAGGTAACTTTTCATCCACTTGTATGCTAACCCTCTTATGCCATATCTCTCTAGTTTATTCATTAATATAGAATGATCAATTGTATCAAACACCCTTTTTAAGTCTATAAAAACACCAACAGTATATTCCTTATTATCTATAGCATTAGATATCCCTTCAACAAGTTCCATCACTGCCATCGAAGTGGACCTTTTCACTCTAAAGCAAGCCTATTCAAATGGCGGCCCGCGGGCCAAATGCAGCCCAGAAGCAACCTGCGAGTGGCCCTGCCTGTGGTCCTGGCAGAAACACAGAGAAAACGCAAAAAATTAATTCATTAATTAATTTTAAAAAAATTAAAAATTCCTACAGCGTAGTGTAGACTGTGAATGCAACACTCCTAGTAGCCTAGCAATATTTAACCCACAATGCACCGTGATGTAAACATATTAAACAATCATCGTAATATAAGATGCGACAACAGCATGTCTTTCTCACTCCAACGGCGCAAAATTGACAATGAAAACTGTCGGTTTAACCCTGCCTGGACTGACAAATACTTATTCATTTTACCGAGTTTAATAATCTTACAACCGGAGTTGTGCTACCATGGTGAGGGTCCTGTACAGCCCAAGAGAGAGCTGCAGCATCTTCCCTTCATGTTTGCTTCTTGGCGAAGAAGAAAAGGCCTTTCACAGATTCTGAAACGGTGAAATACTGCATGCTGGCCGTGGTGGATGCAGTGAAAAGTGATGAATAAATTAAAGTAAGTGTGACATCTGCTATTAAAAACGTACCCCTGTAGGACAGTTCAAATATTCGTAGAATTGAAGGCGTCAGACGAGTTTGAAATGCTGTTAGATGACCTGAAGAAAACTGATGTAATGTCTATAGCAGGAGATCACAGACAGAACTGATAATGCACAGTTGTGCGTATATGTCTGTTTTTTGGATGGGAAATTGCTCGGCTTGCTACCGTTAGAGGGACACACAGCTGGCGAAATGATGTTTGAGAAGATTTCAGCTCTTTTTGAGGAAAATGGTCTGGATATGAAGCGTGTCTGTATACTTGTGACCGATGGGGCTCCATCCATGGCAGGAAAAGTGAGTGGTCAGCGAAATATATATTTTAATTTGAAAGGGAATTATCAAAATGTTTTTTGTTATTATTATTAGTATTTCAAACGTGCAAAAAATAGTTTAGTTATAGCTCCCTTTTTTTTAAATAGACCTTTTGGTGTGCATTTGTGAGAGGTCACCACCAGATTTATAGGGGAAAAGGAATAAAAAAAATACTTGTTTTTCAGTACAGTTGTGTGGGTTTGAAACTGATCATGATCTGCTGCTTACTGGCTTCAAAAAAAAAATAAAAATCTGGCCCAGATAAATTCCTCGGTTTGAAAATCTGGCCCAACTAACTTCGTAGTTGAATAGGCATGCTCTAAAGCAGGGGTGCCCAATCCCGGTCCTCGAGAGCTACCGTCCTGCAGCTTTTAGGTGCATCCTTGTTCCCACACACCCGAATCAAATGAATGGCTTGTTATCAGGCCTTTGCCAAACATGATGGCATGCTGAAGAGGTAATCAAACCATTTGATTCAGCTGTGTTGGAGTAGGGATGCATCTAAAAGCTGCAGGATAGTAGCTCTCGAGGACTGGGATTGGGCAGCCCTGCTCTAAAGCCATGTTGTTTATCACTTAGGAGATTATGCTTCTCAATATATTTATCAAGTCTATTAACAAATAACTTCTCTAAAATTTTTGAGAACTGTGGGAGTAGTGATATTGGCCTGTAATTGGTAAACTGACATCTCTCTCCGTTTTTATGGATTGGAATAACTTTTGCTATTTTCATTTGTGAGGGAAACACACCAGTTTGAAAGGACAGATTACAAATGTATGCGAAAGGTTGCACTATATATTCTATAATACTTTTAACTAATATCATGTCAATACCAAAACAGTCAGTGGACTTTTTATTTTTAAATGTCTTCACAATGTTAATTATTTCTCTATGAGTTGCAGCACCAATAAACATGGAGGACACATTCTGAGTAATATGTTTATTTAGGTCGTTATTATTTCTTGACTCTGGAATTTCTTTTGCTAAATTAAAGCCAACATTTACAAAGAAATCGTTAAATTCATTTGCTATGTCTTCAGTTTTATCAAGCACAATATCTTTATCTTTTTTAAAATAATCTGGATAATTCTTATTTTTTGAGCCCTTTTTGATTATACTGTTTAATATCCTCCATGTTTCTTGTGTGTTACTTCTACTTTGCTCCAATAATTTGTGGTAATATTCTTTCTTACTTGTTCTTATAATATTTACTAATCTATTTTTATATAACTTGTACTTTATTTCAGCATCTTTTGTCCTCTATATAGATTATTTTTCTTTTTACATGCATCTTCTATCCCCTTTGTGATCCATGGCTTATTTGATCTGTGGTGCTTTCTAGTGATCTTCATTAAAGGACAATGTTTTTCATATAGTGAAATTACAGTTGATAGGAATGCATCATATGCACTATTTGAATCTTCATTTGCAAAAACCTCATTCCAATTGTATTCCTTTCAGTCCACCTGGAGGACAGCAATGGCTCTTGTTGTTCTATGTCGTATCATATCAAATGTTTGATTCTTTTGTTCAGTTTTAATCCCAAAATAATTTTGGAAAATTGCAAAAACAGGAAGATAATCGCTTATATCAGTTATAAGAAATCCACCTACTATTTCATGGTCAATTTTATTTGTGAATATATTATCTATCAGTGTAGCTGTATCAGTTGTTATTCTACTTGGTTTTATAATTGTCAGGCTCAGGAGGGACTCAGAGGCAGACCGTCACTAAGGTTCACAATTTATTTACACGTAGACACCAGGTGCGGGTATATACAAGTGAGGGGGCACAGGAAGAGGGTCTCCGGGGAACACAGGCACGGGAAGGGAACGGCTATATACACAATCCACT